AATACGCCAACAGCAGCAAATCGAGCCCTAGAAAAGCAGAAGGTGAATCAGTACCCAGAATTGCTACACTGTATTCCTTAAAATGCCCAGCTTTTAATGAAAACTATAAGAGACAGAAACAGGAAAGTGTAATCTATCACCAGAAAAAACACAAGCAACAGAAGCTGCCTGTGAGATGGCCCAGATATTGGATTTAAAGATGGGGCTTCAAAGCAGCAATTATACACGTTTAAAGAACTGAAGGAAAGTGACTTAAATAAAAGAAGTTATAATGACACTATCTCATCAAATAGAGAATATCAAGAAAGACATAGAGGGTCAGCCCTGGTGGCCTAGTGATTAAGTTCGGTGCTCTCCGCTTCGGCAGCCCGGGTTCGGTTCCCGGGCACAGACCTGCACCACTCGTCTGTCAGCCAGGCTGTGACAGCAGCTCACGTACAAAACAGAGGAAGACTGGCAACAGATGTTAGCTCAGGGTGAACCTTCCTCAGCCAAAAAAAAAGAAAAAGAAAGAGATACAAATCTTTTTTTAAATGAACAAAATAGAAATGATGGAGGTGAAAAGTATATTTGAAAATGAAAAATTTACTAGAGGGGCTCTAATGGCAGATTTGAACCAGCAGAAGAAAGAATCAATGAATCTGAAGATATAACAATTATAAACATATATGAACTTAACAACTGAGCCCTGAAACACATGAAGCAAAAAATAACAGAAGGGAAATAGACAATTCAACAATAATAGCTGTAGATTTCAATACCCCACTTTGAATAATGCGTAGAGCAACTAATCAGAAGGTCAACAAAGATGTAGAAGATGTGACCACAACACTATAAATCCAATAGATCTAACACCAGAACGCTCCACCCAACAACGGCACAATATACATTCTTTTCAAGTGCACAAGGAACATTTTCCTAAAGAGACTGTTTGTGAGGCCATGAAATAAGCCTCAATAAATTTAAGAGGCTTGAAACCATACACAGTATGCTCACCAGCCGAAAGGGAGTGCAATTAGAAATCAACAATAGAAAACAAATTGGGAAATTCAGTAACATGTGGATATTAAACAACACAATCCTAAATAACCAGTGAGTCAAAGAAGAAATCAAAAGGGGGAACTATAAATACCTTGAGATGAATGTAAATTAAGAAACAACATAGCAAAACTTAAGTGGTGTAGCTAAAGCAATGCTTAGAGGAAAGTTTACAGCTGGAAATATCTATACAAACAAAATCAGGTAACTTAGATGAAATGGACAAATTCATAAACTACCAAAACTGACTCAAGAAGGAATATAAAATCTGAATAGACCTGTAACACATAAACAGATTCAATTACGAACAAAAAAAATTACCTACAAAGAAAAACCCAGACCCAGATGGCTTCACTGGTGAATTCTATTGAACATTTAAGAAGAATTAACATCAATCCTTCACAAACTCTTCCAAAAAATACAAGAGGAAGAATACTTCCCAACTCATTCTATGATGCCAGTATTATCCTGATACCAAACCAGAAAAAGACAGCACAATAAAACTACAGATCAGTATCTCTTATGAACATAGATGCAAAAATCCTCAACAAAATACTAGCAAAGAGAATCTAGCAATATAAAAAGGAATATACACCATGAGCAACAGAAGTTTATCCCAGGAATGCAATATTGGCTTAATGTCCAAAAATCAATTAATGTAATAAACCATATGGATAAAATAAATGAGAAAAAAATGATCATCTCAGAAAAAGCATTTGACAAAATTGAATAGCCTTTCATAATAAAAACACTCAACAAACTAGGAAGAGAAAGAAACTTCTAAAACCTGGTACAAGGCATCTTTGAAAATCCCACGACTAGTACTACACTTAATGATGAAAGACTGAAAGCTTTCCTGCTAGAATAAGACAAGGATATCTGATCCTGTCACTTAATTTCATCTTTGTACAGGAGGTTCTAACTAGGGCAATTAGACAAGAAAAGACACTGTTCAAACACAAGATGGAGAGGGATGCAAGGATGGTTCAACATCCACAAACCAATCAATGTGATACACCACATTAACAAAATGGAGGATAAAAATCATCTGATCATCTCAACAGACACAGAAAAAGCATCTGACAAAATTCAACATCCTTTCACAATAAAAACTCTCAACAAACTGAGTAAAAAGGGAACACACCTGAACATAATAAAGGTCCTATATGACAAGCCCATAGCTAACATCATTCTCAACAGTGAAAAGCTGAAAGTTTTTCCTCTAAGATCAAGAAAAATACAAGGATGCCCACTCTTTCCACTTTTATTCAACATAGTACTAGAAGTCCCAGCCAGAGTAATTAGGCAAGAAAAAGAAATAAAAGGCATCCAAATCAGAAAGGAAGAAGTAAAATTGTCTCTATTTGCAGATGACATGATTTTACATATAGAAAATGCTAAAGACTCCACCAAAAAGCTGTGAGAACTAATAAGCAAATTCAGCAAAGCTGCAGGATACAGAATCAATATACAAAAACCAGTTGTGTCTCTATACACTAGTAATGACTTATCAGGAAGAGAAATTAAGAAAACAATCCCATTACAATAGCATCGCAAAGGATAAAATACCTAGGAATAAATTTAACCAAGGAGGTAAAAGAGCTGTGCATTGAAAACTATAAGACATTGATGAAAGAAACTGAAGGCAACACAAAGAAATGGAAAGATATTCTGTACTCACAGATTGGAAGAATTAATATCGTGAAAATGTCCATACTACACAAAGTGATCTACAGATTCAATGCAATCCCTATCAAAATTCCAATGGCATTTTTCACAAAAATAGAAAAAACAACCCCCAAATTTGTATGAAAACACAAAAGGTCCGGAATAGCCAAAACAGTCTTAAAAAAAAGAAAAAAGCTGGAGGCATCACACTTCCTAATTTCAAACTATATTACAAAACTATACTAATCAAAATAGCATGGTATTCCCATAAAAACAGACAAACAGATCAACAGAACAGAACAGAGACCTCAGAAATAAACCCATGTATATATGGGCAATAAATTTATTGACAAATGAGCCAAGTATAAACACAATGGGAAATGGATAGCCTCTTCAATAAATGATGTTGGGAAAACTGGATAGCCATGTGCAAAAGAACGAAATTGGACTCCTGTCTTACACCATACACAAGAATCAACTCAATATGAGTTAAGACCTGAACATACGACCAGAAACCGTAAAATTCCTATAAGAAAACATAGGTGGTAAGTTCCTTGACGTTGGTCTTGACAATAAGTTTTTTGATGTGACACCAAAAGCAAAGGCGAAAAAAGCCAAAATAAACAAGTGGGACTACATCAAATTAAAAAGCTTCACACAGCAAAGGAAACCATCAACAAAATGAAAAGGTAACCTATGGAATGGGAGAAACTATTTACAAATCATATGTCTGATAAGGGGTTAACATCCAAAATATACAGGGAACTCACACAACTCAATAGTAAAAAGCAAGCAATCCAATTAAAAAATGGGCAAGGGAACTGAATGAACATTTCCCAAAGATAAACAAATGGCCAAGAGATACACAAAAAGGTGCTCAACATCACCAATCATTAGAGAAATGCAAACCAAAACCACAAGGAGATATCACCTCATACCTGTTAGAGTGGGACGGATGAATGGATCAAGACGACGTGGTGTACATATACTTAATAGAACATTACTCAGCCATGCAAAAGAAGGACGTCTTGTGGTTTGCAACAACATGGATGGACCCAAAGGGCATTTGCTAAGTGAAGTAAGTCAGACAGACAATGACAAATACTGTATGATACCATGCTTTCTTATGTGGAATTTTAAAAAGCTGAACTCATAGAAATGGAGGGTAGAATGGTAGTTACCACAGGCTGGGGGATGGGGGGAAATGGGGAGATATTGGTCAAAGAGTACAAACTTCCAGTTATAAGATGACTAAGTTCTGGAGATCTAATGGACAGCACAGTGATTACAGCTAATAATACTAGATTATATCCTTGAAAGTTGCTAAGAAAGCATAAATGTCTTCACCACCAGAAAGAAATGGTAATTACGTGACATGGTGCAGGTGCTAGCTAATGCTATGGTGGTGATCATTTCTGCAATATGTACGTCTATCAAACCAACATACTGTACACTTTAAACTTACACAATATTGTATGTCAATTCTATCTCAATAAAGCTGGGGGAATACAAACAAGTGGAGTTCAGTGAGAGCTGGGTAATTCACTGCAGATAATGAGCTGGCAAGAATGGGTGAAAATCAGACCCCGCCAATCAGATTCAGGTTAAGTTAATGTCCTCACTACATACAGGAGAGTCCATTCCAGAGAGTTCAAGTGAGTTATGCACAATCACATGGCCTGTTAACGACCTAACCAGCTCCAGGACCCATTTCACCATGATCCTGTTGTGGCCTTCCCTCCACACATTTTACTCACCTTTCTCAAGACCCTCTTGAGAGGAGAGACAGTAACTTGGGTTGGAGATGCCAACAGAGATGGACAGACTAAGCCTTGTATGAAAAATTTCCATCCTCTACCTGCTGTGCTATTTTTAACAGCTGGAAAACAGCTCTTTTTCTTTGAGAATGATGAGAGTTGCATGTGATGTTCCTGGCGGATAGGTCCACACTGGTAGCACTGTCCACACTCATGTCAAGGATTCCTGTCCTGGGGAAGGAGACCCTCAAGAGGCCATTTTACAGGAAAATAAATAAAAAGCAAAAGGGTATAAGATTATCGGTCAAAGGCCAGAAGTGAAAACAGGCCTCAGAAACCTAAAACGCTCTTCCCTACTAGGAGACAAGATGTTGGTGTCACAGGACTTTCTGAAAACGTCACCATAGTCCAAAGTGAGGGGGGTGGTTTCCCAGTGGAAACATCAGATACCCACCAGGGCACTGGCAAATGCTTCTGTCTCTTTAAGTCGTCACCTCGGGACCCTCCCGCCCTGAGCTTCCTGAGCTCTGAGGGCTGAGAGGCAGATTTCCTCCTGTGCTGGGAGGAAACAGCCTGCTGGCCTCACAACCAAGGGAAAGCAGTAGGTCAGAGGCTCCCGGGAGCCAGCGTCAGAGCCCTTCACCAACTCTGCAGGAAAGGTGAGCCCAAGGGCAAGGGAGCCGGCCGGGGAGGAGGACCTGTGCGGAATGCGGTGTCTGTATGTCACCCGATGAGTGAGCTACGAGGTTGAGGGGTGGCGGGGAGCAGAGCCTAGAAAGAATCACTTCACACCTCCAGGTTTTTAAGGATGTGCTGAGATTCAAATTGAGTAAGTTCCCAAGAAGTGGGACGCAGCTTCTCCAGCTCTGGAGGGCACACAGTCTTATCAAATCCTCTCTCCTTCCCTCCTCCCCTAATAAATAAGGAAGGTGTTTGCTAGAACCACTACAGGGAACACAGCACACTCTAGAAGGCAGAAACACTCCCCACATGCATGTTCAGCAAGGCAAAAAATATTTTTGAGGACATACATACAAATCTAAACTCGAGCAAGTTAGAAAGTGAAAATTCGGTATAAACCTGAACTGAATCCTCCTGAAACGCTCCACTTTCCTCAGCTCTGTCCACAACCGGGTCTTGCAGGAGACATCTAAGGTTACGAGCGTGGTCTTCAGTCCCTCGCCCTACGTGTGCCCTTCAACACCTGCCCCCAATCTCAGCTGCCCAGGGCTCTGCAGGCTGCTGCGCCGTCTTGACGTCCTCACCTCCTCTCACCCGTGTAATGAAGGAGGCGCTGGGATAACTCATCAGGAACTCAGACCGTGGACCGAACGCTTTAGAGTCACAGGAGGGGGAACTTATTTCTCAAAAGTACAGATATGGGAATCAAAATCTCTAAGAAATCTTCATTTTAAAGAATCCCCTAGACAGTTCCAAAGACAGCAGGTTCAAGAAGCACTGGACTAGGTAAACAGACTCCAACCCTCGGAGCTTTCAGATGACAGGATTCTACACGGCTGACGTTCCTCAGCAACAATACGTCTTGTGCACCCCAGGTTTCAGCTCTTAGGAACTTTGGGAGAACTGTTCAAATCCCACTCCAAACTCTGCAGGAGGTTCCAAACGCCTCCCAAGGGCTCAGTGAATTCCCTGCAGCACACTTTCTCATTTCCATCTTTGACAAGGACTGCTCACTTTGGCTAAATTCTTATCTTTGTTCTAATCTTGTGGCTGTTTCCTCATTTCTGCTCTGCTGTCAATTACGGCAGCTTGTTGATTTCTACACACAAAATAATTAATCACGTGGGCTGAACTTAAGGCTTGGGGAGGTGGTAGGGCACTTACTGCAGGAACATGAGCACTTTGGACTGAGGACCAGGCAAACCTGTCCTCTTGGTCCTTTGGCCAGAGACAAGGTATTCAGCCAACCTCTGCTTTGCTTTCCCTTGTGTGGTGCCAGTGGGAGAGAACACGGTCACCTGCAGTAACCAGGTGGACAACAGGGACAGGGAGAATTAGAAAGGGACGTGAGCTCAGGCAGGTCTCAGACAGAACGTGGGAGAGGATGAATGGTCACAGGAGGGAAAGCACAAGGTGGGCTGGAAAGGCCCTGAAGTCTGCTCCTGGTGGAGTGGCTGATCGAGTCAGGGAGTGGCTGGAGATGAGGCTGGAGACGCAGACGGAGGAGAGACTGTGCACTTGCGTCCGGGTACCTGTGGGATCCGGCAAATGTGCTCCCTGAACGTTTATTGTATTAAATGATGGTTGAACTGGGCATCAACAGTTTACTTCGAGAAGCCTCAGATTTGGGGCAGAACATCAGGAGATGGAGGGGAGCGCCCCAGTCTCTCCAGCACACAGATCAGAGTTAGACACATTGCGAGCCAAATAATCCAGCTTGCTGAGAGCAGAGTCAGAGGCTGTCCAGAGCAGCTTGCGAGGTATGTCTGTTTTCCAATTTCCACAAACAAAATTCCAATTTTCTTCTTGTTTGTTTCCCAGGCCAACCACCCTAGGGTGTTCCCTAAGTCACTGGGCAAATTTTGGGGTTCTCAGGGTTTTCCAAAGTCTCCTCTGGCTGCTGAACCTCCTGGGAAAATTTAATATGTAAGGCTCATGTACTGATACAGAATTACCTAGGAAATTAACATCCACAGCCACCTCACTGACGCAGAGTGTCACGCTCTGCGCTCTGCTGCTGCACTTGGAGTCCCTGAAATGACAAAGCCAAGTTCTCAGCCTCACTCCAACCTCAGCCCAGGCTCTTCCCAGGTTCCTCCCTAAACTCGGATGTTCAGGGGCAGGAGGGAACCATGGTTTCCTCACTGTGGGGTCACCAGCTCTTTCCACTTTGCCTGACACATTGTGGGGAGTTATACCTATCTGATGAATAAATGAATGAGAAACGAAAGATCAAACTGTGTTTGGGACTCTTGCAGGTAGCATGGGAGGACGGAGGATGGTAAGAGACGAAGAAAATGCCTATGGTAAGAACACATCTCGCAAGGCGTTCCTGCCAGCAGGGGTGAGCTCTGGGTGATGAGGGGCGAGCCAACTCCAGACTGACCAGAGACAAGCCCCACCTGCACGTTAGCTGGACCTCTGCCCCTGCCCTGCTGGGAGACATTAAGTTCTGTGACTAGCCTGCGCCTCCAATCCCAAAGTGGGAAATGAGGACCATGGATCTACTAGGATCTCCGCAGAGGAGGATGGAGAAGGGATCCAATCATGGACTAGAGGGAACACGATTTGCCAGGCAGAAGGTGTCAGAGAACAGGATGGAAGGTTAAACCGCTGTCTTCTTAGGCAGCAGGTTTAAGAGAGAGGAGAGGGAGGAGGGAGGGAAGAAGAGAGCTTGTCTCAGCTCACCCCCCACATCCCTGTGAGAAACAATCTATTTCCATTTTTGCAGAAGACGTTTAACTCTTACAGTAAGCACCTTCCCAGGGGACACAGCTGGCAGATGGCGGGGCTGTAGCTCAAACCCAGGTGTCTAGGGCTCTGGGCAGCCCTTCCACACGAGGCCTGCTGCCTTTCCTCATGGGATGGTACCTGGGAGAGTAGCGCAGAGGCCACTGAAATCGCCAAATAAGCAACAGCTCTGCACGCTGTGGTGACCAGAGGTCACGTCAGACGCAGCCCATGCGGCCTGGAATTGCAAAGGGGCGTCCTCTAGGGAAAAGCCCACGGGGTCTTGGAGCATCCCCAGGCGCATGTGGTGACGCCAAAGAGGAAAGACATAAACGGGTAAAGATACCCCGGAGTCCAAAAGTCTCTAACCAGATCACCTCAGCGAAGGCTGGCCTTAAAAGCAAAGGCTGAGGCACTATTGCTCCCCTTTGTTCAAAAGGCGTCCAGCAGGTCCAGGTCAGCAGGCTCAGTCGCTTCCAGGCGTGCGGCTCACGAATCATTGTCCGCGCAGGTTCTGAGGACAACCCGCAGGAGCCCAGGCTCAGGCTCATCCTGGCCGGGAGGACGGGGGCCGGCAAGAGCGCCACAGGCAACAGCATCCTGGGTCAGCGGCGCTTCCTCTCGAGGCTCAGCGCCGCGCAGGTGACCACCACCTGCGCCGTGGGCAGCTGCCGCTGGGCCGGCTGGCACCTGGACGTCATCGACACCCCGGACCTGTTCGGCGCCGAAGACCCCAGGACAGAGCCGGGCTGCGGCGAGAGGGGCCGCTGCTACCTGCTCTCGGCGCCCGGGCCGCACGCCCTGCTCCTCGTCAGCCAGCTGGGCCGCTTCACCGCCCAGGACCAGCAGGCCGCGCGCCGGCTCAAGGCCATGTTCGGCGATGACGCTGTGGCGCGCACGGTCCTGCTCTTCACGCACAAGGAGGACCTGGCCGGGACCTCGCTGCAGGACTACGTGCGCTGCACCGACAACCGCGCGCTGCGGGAGCTGGTGGCCGAGTGCGGCGGCCGCGTCTGCACCTTCGACAACCGCGCCAGCGGCACGGAGCGGGAGGCCCAGGTGGCCGAGCTCATGGCGCTGTTGGAGCGGCTGGTGCGCGCGCACGGGGGCGCGCCCTACACCAACGACGTGTACGGCCTGGCGCGCGCCCTGGGCCGCGCGCGCCCCGAGGAGCGGCTGCGCAGGGTGGCGGAGAGCGTGGCGGCCCGCGTGCAGCGGCGGCGGGGGCGCGGGCTGCTGGCGGCGCTGTTGGGGCGCGGGAGGGCGCCGTGGAGCCGTCCGAGGCTGGTCGTGGCCGCGCTGCTGGGGGCCCTGGGCCTGCTCTACCTGCTGCTCGCTGGGCGCCGGGCGGACGCCGCGACAGATAGCGCAGGTCTTAAAAATGCCTTCCCCTGGCGGGAGAGGAGCTGAATGCTCGGAGCTGAAGGGGGGACTTAAAACCTCCTTCCAAAGGAATCCTGCAGTTTCAGACAGAGTGTTAATGTCGCGGAAATCTGTGAACACTGCATCAATTTTGTAAAAGCTCGAAGTTCACTTGTTAAGTTTTCAAGTTTCAGTTTTGGCTAATGTATATCATTTTAAAATAAATTGGCCTAACTTTAAATGTCCTTTAAACGTTTTAGTCTTGATGCATCTTTCCTCTCTTGAAAAATAATGAAGTGAGTGATAGTTCGTATTAGAAAATGGATTAGGCAAAAGGAAAGCAAAGATTTTTATTTTGAGCGTTTTAAAAAGTTTAGACACGGTCTTAGTCCGTTAGGGCTGCTATTTTTAAAAAAATAATGCTGCAGACTGGGTGGCTTATAAACAAACTTTTTTCCCCACAGTTCCGGATTTGGAAGTCCCAGATCAAGATGGCAGCCTGGTCGGGTTCTGGTGAGACCCCTCTTTGGCGTTCCGGATGCTGGCTGGCTGTGTCCTCACATGGTGAAAGGATGAGCCAGCTCTTGGGGCCTGTGGTATATGAGCACAATTCTCAATCATTAGGGATCTGCCCTCATGGCCTAATCACCTCCCAGGGGACACAAACCTTCAGACCATAACAGACATTCGAAAAGTATGGAAAACCATACTTTTCTTTTCTTTTTTGGTAAGGAAGATTGGCCCTGAGCTGACATCTGTTGCCAATCTTCTTCTTTTTTTTCCTTCCCCAAAGCCCCAGTACATAGTTGTATATCCTAGTTGTAGGTCATTCTGGTTCTTCTACGCAGGCCTCCACCACAGCATGGCTTGATGACTGGTGTGTGGGTCTGCGCCTGGGATCCAAACTGGTGAACTCTGGGCCTCCCAAGTGGAGCACAGGAACTTAACCACTCAGCCCCAGGGTCGCCTCGCTTAACAGTTTTCTAGTTCTCAACATGGTAGATTCATCCCTTTGTGATCCTGATGGGCTTTTAGGATCATCAATGAAGCGATATCAGGGGCATACATGTTAACGTTTACATCTGACACATCAGTTTACCTACTTGTACAAGGATTTACTACCCACAAGAAAAACGTAATTATACTGAAAATAACAGTTTCCTTTTTTTTTTTTTTTTTTTGCACTTTTCATGGTTCTAGTCTTTCCAAAGTGAAGCAGGATTTTGAGTAATGTCTTCAGTGTGGTTATCTACCTGGATTTTTATGCAAAAGAAAAAAAAATCGAACTTCTCTGTGATAGTGGAGAAGAGAAGGAGAGGCAGGTGCCTGGGCAGAAAGTCGCAGAACACCCGAGGTTAGACTGGTGTGGCTGTATGGTTGGGTGTTACAGAGGATGGGCCAGCCCACGAAAGTGCTGGAATGCCGCATCGTTAGAAAACCAGAGCCATCCTTAAGTTGTGTAATCAAAGGATAGGATTTCCTTATTTCTGTTTCCGAATGTGACAGACGCTTCTCTTCTCTAGTGGGGAGGTGTGGATGCGCCAGGAGGCATCTGTGGGGAAGGTAGGCAGTTGTGCGCAGGCGCCCTGGACCATGCTGGCTCCACGTGAACTAGGGGCCTAGGCGAAAGCGCTCTGGGGCCACGGGTTAGGGCTGGGGGGAGGCCCGGGGTGGGCTGCGGGCTTAGGGTGGGCTGTGGTCGGGGGGCTTGAGGGGCCTGGCGACCGTTGCAGTGCATTAGGGTCTGTGAAGCATGGCTGGGGAAATGTCCCTTATTAATCCCCGCCTTTAGCGTCCTCAGCAGCCCTGCCGGGTTAATGGAGGGGCTCTGAGCCAGGCAGGGGTTCCTTCGACGACCCGAGGGGCAGCAGAAAGGGGCAGAGCCGGGGGGATGGCCCGTGTCCCCAGTTTGGCTCCAGAGCAACGTGTGCAGGAGCAAGTGCTGTGGGCCAAGGCTTTGCTTACCAGTGGGCTGATTTTAATCTGTTATTCTTTCATTTTTTCCTTGTCTTGCGTACATGTGTCCGCAAATGCCCTCCAGTATTTGTCATTACTTATTGTTTCTGCCCTGTTTATAAATGGAAATGTGACTTTGAAGTAAATATAAGTATTACGGTTTTTAAATTCTCATGTGGACCGTAGCATATAGAAATGTATAGCTGGATCAAGAGAGGGCTGGACGTCCGTGGGTAAAATGCCCTCCTCGGGGCATCGCAAGGGGCGCCATAAGGGGAGTAGTAAAGACAGCGGGAGATGCGCCACGGGGCCTGAGGGGCTCGTGTTTCAGAGCTGGTCTGCTGTGTACTTGCTCCAAGACCTGGGGCACAAGAGGATTCCGTTTTTTTCTTGAGATGCATATATTAATATTAATCTTTATAGCTTTCATGGATGATGAAATAATATGGTGGAAGCACTTTGTAGGTTAAATACCGTGACTATGATACAGAAATAGAAATACCTGAGGAAACTTTTCATAATAATAAATACTCATCAATAAATAAATTTCACACTCATAAATAAATTTCACACTCATAAATATTCCATATTTATTATTCATGAGAATAAATACTTCACATTATATAGAAGTGTATAGAGTTGGGAGCTAGTGGTAATGCAAGGTGGGATATGATTAGTTGTTGAATACGTTTACAAAGTGCAAGTGTAAGAAGATATATTACTATATCTGTCTGTCCTATTGGTTCTGTTTCTCTGGAGACCCTAATCCAGTTAGACACATGGAGAAAGTCCAGCTCCCAAGGCCCAGATTCACAAAGATGCCTGAGACTGAAGCTGGACAAGAACAGAGGACACTGCCCTGCCCCACTCTGTGCCTCAAAAGCAATTAACAATTGACAAGCAGTTTTAATAACAAGTAACAAGCAGTGGCCTCTACCACAAGGGAGGGTCAGGCCTGGAGACACTGGGAGGCAGAGTTGTGCAGAGATGACTGGAAGCTGAAGGCGGGCAAAGCAGGAACACTGAGTAAAACCTTATGGCATCTGAGTGCCCACCCTAAGCACAGGCAACTCTCGGGAAATACAAGCCTAAGGTGCACAAAGGGAACCATAGCAACAACCCCCACCAGCTCCCCTCCTGGGTAGACTGACTCAAACCCCATGCTCACAGCCAGACAGGAGAAACGGGATTCCACTTCTAGGCACAAATACTATTTATCTCAGTTTCTACTTTCCTTCTACACATGATGTGTATAATTTAATAAAATTATGAAACATTCAAAAAAAGCAAGAAAAAAATTGTACATTACCAAAAGACCAAGCAATCAACAGGCCAGACTCAGAAACAGTCCAGAAGTTGGACAAGGATTTTAAAATAACAACGAGGACTGAATAAAATATGTGGGTAACATGAACTACAAGAAGGGGAATTTCAAGAGAGAGACGAAAACCATGAGTCAAAAATCAGTGGCAGGGATCCAAAGCCCTGTGGAGATGAAGTCTTCCTGAGCAGGGACATCAGTAGACTCAGCACAGTTGACGAAGGAATCAGTGAACTTGAAGACGGGTGGAGAGAAAGTCCCCACACTGAAACAAAAGCTAAAAATGAGGGAGAAAAAGAAACAGAACAGAATATCCAAGAGCTGTAGACAATATCAAACGGATTAACATACGTATAACTGAAGGCCCAGAAGGAGAAAGGAGAGGACATGCAGAAGAAATACGTGAAGAGATTTGGTCGAGACTCTTCTAAAAATAATGAAAGACACCAAGCCACAGGTCCAAGAATCACAGAGAAGCCCGGGCGGAATAAACACAGAAGCAAGCAAACAAACAAAAGTCTAGACGCTTCATATCCACACTGTTAAAACCAAAGATAAAGACAAAAACTTAGAAATAACCAGGGGAGGGGCCGTCCAGTGGTGTAGTGGTTAAGTTCGTGTGCTCCGCTTCAGTGGCCTGGGCTTCGAATCCCAAGCATGGACCTAAACGTAGCTCATCAAGCCATGCTGTGGCGGCATCTCACAGACAAAGTAGAGAAAGATTGGAAACAGATGTTAGCTCAGCAACAATCTTCCTCACCAAAAAAAAAAAATAAAAATAAAAAAATAACCAGGGAAAGAGACGTTATATTAGATAAATAAATATTGTAATTACAGATGATTTCTTGTCAGAGCCTGCCATTCAGAAGACAATGGTGTGGCATCTTTATAATACTAAAGAACAAAAGTGTCAACCCAGATTTCTATAAACAACAGAAATTTCCTTCAAATATGAAGGTGAAATAAAGACTGTCTAGCTAAAAAAAGCTGAGATAATTCATTGTCAGCTTACCTGCGCTGAAAGAAATATTAGAAGAAGTTCTTCAGGCAGAAGGACTTAATGTGATACCAGACAGAAATCTTTATTTACATAAAGAAATTAAAAGCTCCAGAAATGACCAAAAGAAAGAAGATAAATATAAAGGACATTTTTCTTACATTTTATAGCTCTAAAAGATAATTGTGTAAAACAAAACTACTAATAACATATTAGGGAATTTACAGCATATGCAAAAGGCAAACATGACCACGTATGGGAGGGAGAAATTGCAACTATACTGTTGTATGTTTCTTAAACCACATGCGAAGTGGTCTAATATTATTTACAAGTTCACTGTGATAAATGGTCTAAACACCCCCTGAATAAAAAGCAAAGACTATAAGATAGGGTTAAAAATCAAGACCAATCTGTAGGCTATTTACAGGAAACTCACTGTAAATATAACAACTGGACTGGTTTTCGATTGCTGCCTAACAAATGACCTCAGACTTGGCAACTTAAAACAACATACATTTGTTATCTCATGGTTTCTGTGGGTCAGAGGTCCGGGCACCAGCTTAACTGGGTCCTCTGCTCAGAGCTTCACAAAGCTTCAGTCAAGGGCTCAGCCACGCAGTGGTTCTCATCTGAAGCTCAGGGTCCTTTTCCAAATTCACTGGAGTTGTTAGCAGAATTGAGTTGCTTGTGGCTGTAGGACTGAGGTCCTCCCAGAGGCTCCAGAGGTGGCCCCTCTTGATAGGCAGTTCACGGCATGGATATTTGCCTTCTGCAAAGTCAGCAGGAGAATCTCTGGCTTTTAAGGCTTTCTTGAGCAGGTCAGGTCCACCCAGTACACCCTCCCTTTTGACTAATTCAAAGCCAGCTGAGTAGGGACCCTAATTACATCTGGGGGTCTCTTCATCATTGCTGTCTAAAGTGACCTCCATCCTATTCACAGGTCTGCCCCACTCAGAGGGAGAGGATTATCCAGGGCTTGTACACGAGTAGAGAGGGATCGTGGGCCATCTTAGAATTCTGTCTACCAGAACAATATAGACAGGCTAAAAGTAAAAGAATTGGGAAAGAAAAACCATGAAAATACTAACGAAAGGAAAGCTGAATGGCTACATTGATAAAAAAGTAGTCTATAGAACAAGGAACCTTACTGAAGAGAAAGACAGACATTACATAAGGATACATGTGTTAATTTACCAGGAAGACACAATCCTAAAAATGTATGCACCTAAAATAGAGCTTCAAAAGACATGAAGTTAAAACTCAACAAATCAAAAGGATAAATAAACAGATCCTAAATTATAATTGCAGACTTTAAACCTCCTTTCTTAGTAATCAGTAAAACACCCAGGCAGAAAATCAGTAAGATTACAGAAGGTGTAAACAATACTTTTCCCTTAAGGTCAAAAAAAGGCCAGGCTGTCCATCCCGACCTCTCCAGTTCAACATAGTAATGGGCATCTAGCCAGCGAAATGAGGCAAGGAAAGGAAATTAAAGTCATACAAATTGGAAGGGAAGTAATAAAGCTCTTTATTCAAAGATAACATGATGGTCTACATACAGAACTCCAAAGAGTCGAGAAAAAAAGATATTCTAGGACTAATGAATTAGCTTAGCAAAGTAGGAGAAGACAAGGTCAACATGCAAAGATCAATTGTATTTCTGCAATGAACAACTGGAAAGTGGAATTAAATCATCAGTACCATCACAATAGCATTAAAAACCATAAAAACTGCTTTAGGATAAATCTAAGATTTTTATGCTGAAAACTACAAATGTTGATTTTGAGAAAAATCTAAGACCAAAATAAACGGAGAGACAGACTATGTTCCTGGATAAGAAGATTCAATGTTATTAAGATGCGAGTTCTCCCTAATTTAATCTACAGAGCAACGCAATCTTAATCAAAATCTGAGTGGGACTTCTTGTAGATATTTACAGGCTGCTTTTAAAACTTATATAAAAAAACAAACAATGAAAAGTATTTTAAATAAGAAAAAGTTGGAGGATTTACCCTCCCTGATTGCAAGATTTACTATAAATCTGCAGTCATCATAACTCCAGGGTTTTGGTGAAGGTTAGACATATAGATCAATGAAACAGAATAGAGTCCAGAAATAGACCTCTGCAAATATGATCAATTAATTCTTGGCAAAGCTTACAAAGTAATTCAATAGAGAAAGAATAGTCTTTTCAAGATATGGAGATGGAAAATTGACCTTCTACTTGTCAAGAATCTTGATGCATACCTCACACCATTTACTAAAATTAACTATGTGATTTTCTGAACAGCATTTCTCTCCTCTTGGTCTCAGTCTCCTTATCTGTAAAGTGACAGAAAAAAAAAGAAGGAAAAGAGCTATTCTAGATAAACTCTGAGATCCTTATCCTTTGCTTTCACCTCCTACACTGTATCCTTCTTATCTTTTGCATTCGTCAACCTCATTTATTCACTGGGTTAAACTTTCAATGAGCAAATGTGTGCATGCAAGTCTCCTGAGGCTTAATGGCAGCAGAGGCCATGGGTGTCATGGAGAAGCTGCAGAAGGTCATGACCTCTTATGACTTCTTACGTTGTCACTGAACTGCTTCTGGCACCTCTTGTGCAAATCAACCCCCTTCACCCTCTCTGCAGTGGGTCGGTCTTGCATTCATTTTTTATCCTTGTCCAGGGCTGTGCTTCCCTTTCTCTGAAGAAGAATAAAATGTGACAAGTTTACTTTTCCTTTGGATAAAGGCAATTCGGTAACACAGGTGGTCACCCCAATTACCAGGTGAATTTAGGATGAACTCCGTGTGACAACTGGCGTCGTCAAGTTCTCTTATTTGGGGACTAGTAACGGTTTATCTCGACACCATGTAAGTCGTGGGCGGCATCTGCTGGGCTGTCTGACAGGGTGGGATGTCCTTGTCTTTGCAATCTCTTCGAGGACTGTGATGTGACGCCACTCTAACACTTGTTCGATGACAAAACTGTTTCTTTCTCTTCTATTTTGGTGGAGAGCTTTTGTGGATTGGCGGGAGATTTAATGTATTTTCCCCAACAAATCTTAGACAATCATTATTATGTGACTCTGAGCCTAAACTCAAAAGTCAACAGAAAGGAATCTGGAGATTCTCTGGGACAAGACTGGCTCCTGCCTAAGCCCACGCTGTGCTCTCCAGCTGGCTTTGCAACATAGTCGTTTTAAGTCCGTTGCTCTGGCCTTAAATGTGCCATCAGTTGACAAACCTAGGAGCTACAGCCCTGCTCCCAACCCGCGCCTAACAATCGACATACAAGTTCCAGTCCCAGTAAGGCCCCATGGGGCTTGTCTGTCAGATGGCACAGAAGGGGCAGCCAGCACACGGGGCCTGGGGAGCCCCTCAAAGTCACGTCCTCAGCGCTGTGCTTCCAGGCCCTTTGTGGACCAGCAGTGCCTTTCCTCCCTGGTAAGCAGGAACGTTCTGGAATCAGAGGATGGAGAAGGGGCCTGGGGAGTTGGGTGGTGCAGGTGCTCCTGCGACGGGTGCTGAGGGGAGCGGCTGGTGCCCCACAAGAACTTTCCAGGGTCACAGGGGGCGTTTCTGAACCCGAGGGATCCGTCACTGCCTGCACAGCCTCTTCCTCCGCATCTTGCTTATTCTAACAAGTCGCGAAAGGGAAATGGGAGGGGGCCTGGCGGTCCGCGGGCTCTGACAGGAAGCGGCCGGTGCAGGGGGACGCGCACGCCCGCGCGCTCGCTGCTCCCGGGTCCGGTGCGCAGCCTTTCGCAGTCGACCCCAAGGGACGCGTCCTTGGCTGCGGGGAAGGGGGCGCGCTCCATAAGCGCCTTTTCTCCTCTTTCCCTGCTGCCAAGCCTGGAACCTTCGGCTTCACGCGCGTTTCCTCCTTCACTGCGTCCGCCCCCGCCGCCTTCTCGACCCGCAGACCCGACGCGCCCCCCGCGCCCGGTAAGGGGACCCGGTGAGGGGCCCAGCGTCTGCGGGGGGGCGGAGAGCCCAGGGGTTAGTCCAGGCTGCTGACTTCTGGTGTGGTCCCACATGGGTTCCCATACTTCTGTGTTCGCCCAGCCTGAAAGGGGGCGATGACGGTGAGCGTTATGGGCAACAGCAGATTTCTAGGGGTGCAAAGCAGACTTGGAAACGCTCCCCCTGCGTTGCCAGCCCTCGAGCCACAGCGCTGCGGGCTTCTCCGTCCCATTGCCTACTTCTTAGCCGCTTGGTCTTCATGAGACTCTCAGGGTTTCATAAAGCTGGACCAGTGTTCTCCTGCCATTTAACAGATGAGAAGCGGAAACTCCCAAGGTGCCCGAGCGAGGTGGGGGGGCACTTCTCAGTTTTCCCTCTTAACTTCTCATATCCCCGCCCCAAGCTCTGCCATGCGCGGGGTCCCAGAGAGGCCTGGGCCTGCAGACAGGACCCTTAGGGCGCCATAGGCAAATGTGCGGTCATTATTTTCCCACCGCAGTGAGCCACATGTTCCAAACGGGGCCCCTCGGTGGACTTTGTTTTGTGATATTGATCTTCTGGAAACCACACATTCTCCCCCAAATGCCCCACACCTTTCCTATGACACGATGTGGACTTTGCTCTGTGGCAAACAGACTCATGTTCAGGGCGAATGGAAACAACCCCTTTGTCCGCCAGACCTTATGCGAGAGACGCGTCCCGAAATCACAATGACTAAACTGCCAAGCAAGTGACCGTACTCCTAGGGAGTACAGGGACGGGGACAGACGAGTGAAGGAGACACTCGTGAACAAGGCAGACAGGAAATATTTTTGTCTCTCCTCAGACAGCGTTAGAGAGCCTGCTTTCCCGGGGTTTGATAAAGTGAGGTATCGTCGTGAAGAAATCGGGCTCGCGTAATTGTAAAGTCAGAAGGTGCATTATGTCCCCTTGCTTCAGCCTCCCTAGTAACTGGGGCCTCCTGCCATCCTGTCAGATGCTGTGATCCTCTCTGCTTGCCCGCTGACTGCCGCTGTCTCACGACTCCGGGACCCCACGTAGGGGAAAGATTAGTAGAATTTTTCTTCTGGAGAAGAATTCTGCCTCCATTCCTCAGTTCTCTCGCTTTTACCTGCTCTGAGCCTGGCGCTGCCACACTCCTCCAGATCTGCAGTGCTTCCGACAGGCTTCTCCTGAGCTTGGCTCAGTCCTCTTAATATTTTGTCTATGACTCCTGTTAGCATCTCCGTCAATATCCCTGTCTGACTCCCTCTGGACACTTTGTAATTTGCTCATAGCTGCCTAAAACTCTATTCCTCAGTGGGACTCGGGTCTGCTCCTGCAGCCTGAGCCACGGGGAAGATGGTTCTGGAGAACTCCTGCCCCGCTCCTCGGATCACGTGATCTGAGTTCGATTGGTTTTTTGTGACAGCCCCATTGTTGCATTTGGGTCACACTAAGTCAAGTAAAAACACCAGGCTGTTTTAAACTGAAATACTTCCGTTCAGAACAGCTTCTGCTGCCTGCAATTTTATCTTTCTACTTATTTATTTATTGAAAAATATGTACTCAAGATTTTGCAGTACAATTCTCTGTGTTGGTTTTAGGGCTGCCTCCAGCCTGTCAGTATCAGTCTGTGTCCTGACCATGAGCTGACAGCCTGGCGTGTGGTGTTCCAAGAGGCTTGTGGACTGACTTGGAACAACCTCTTTCCTCCTGTGGAATCAAGGAGAGTGTACAGGCAAAGCATCCATTTGTTGCCCTTAGCTCCACGGCAATTGTGTGACCTCGGGCAGGTCATTTCATGCTCAGTTTCCTAATATTTTAAATGTTAACACCTATCTTGATCACAGCACGGGGAATCTAGGAGAACAAGTGAAATAAAGGACGTGAAAGAACTTTGAAAGCTGTGAGCGACCGCACGGGGATCAGCACGATGGTGAAGTTCGTCACCAGCATCGTCAGCACGGTCATCGTCTTTACCGCATCGCTAGATTCATTCCAGCATATTTTCTGAGGTTTCCAAGCCTCAGAAATGTCGCCTAAGGTAGAAAAGATGTCGGAGAATTTGAGCGGTTTTAGCAAAAGCGAAGATTTGGGGAATTCTCACCCACGGCTGGTGCCAGGGGGAGTTGGCACAGCCCTCTTGGAGTCAACTTGGCAGCGTGGAGTCAGCTGGGAAGTCTGTGTCCCAGGTGACCTGTTGCACCTGAGCACGAGGAGATCTGTGTGGGGGTGGTTGTGCAGCGTTGTTCACGGTGGCAGGCAGTTATTTTGAAAGAGCTTAAATGTTTGTTAACAAGTAATTGGATAAAATGTTACATAAATAATGTCATTTATGTAAAAGTTTAAAATACAAAAGCAGTGCTATATATTATCTATAGATACATGTGTATGTCGAAGCTTAAATACACAAATGGGAATGATACATAAAAACCTCAGAATATGGTTGCCTCTGAAGGGCAGGGGGAGGGAGAATGAGACCGGGGAGTAGAAAAAAATAAATGAAGTACACGGGGAATATTTTAACTTTTTCAATCAAACAGTACAGCTGCAGGAAACATGCCAGCATCCTTACATTTGTTCGTTGCAGATGGTGGGTATTAGTTTTATAACTGTGTATTTCTCCACCTAAGAAGTTTGTCCCATAACGGGATAATCTTTAAAACTGAATAAATAAAACACACTCATAGAGTTCATCTTAATTATGGTTGAATTTCACATGCTTGCCTTTTTTAACGTATGTGTACCCTTTCTAACACCGAGAAGAATGACACAATATCACGCCTCATTTGAATGAAACATTTATGCCAATGGTTGTGCCAATTTCTGGTTAAATCTGCTGTGATAGAAAAATGGTGATTATTGGGAGACCAGGATCTCAGAAGCTACTGGGAAAGACATTTGCTTGAAAACTGAAGAGGAAACGAGTTTATCTTGACTTTGTCCTGAGTGTTGATTCTTTCCCTTCAGACACGGCACCACCTTCTCTCCACCAGCTGCTCAAGGGGAGGGAGGAAGGTGGTCGTGCTCGGCCATCTTCCACTCCTTCCTCTCGTGGCACTCCTTGAAGGAGTCCTCGGCCCCAATTCCATCCTCCCATTGGAAGGTACATTGCACTTTCCTCTTTGCCACTAGAATATCCATCTGACACAAAGAGTTTCGGCCACTGGAAATTCCAAGTACTTTAAACAAATCAATGTCATTTACAGCAAGGCATTTTTTTCTCTATTCTACTATGTTTTCCTACTTTGATTCCAATAAAAAAATAATAATGATGTCCCACTCCTCGTTCCATAGAAGAATGCTTTGTCTTCATTTCATGCCTTTTCAAGTTGGATGGAGATAATCAACTGATTGGTTTCAAAATATTTCCTGCTTTCCTGTAAGCTGAGAAAAAAAGCAACAGTCAGTTGCCTTGCATTAACATAACTTAGAATCGCCTGGTTAGCTTAAAGTTATTTATAGACATTTGAAAGTAAAATATGAGTTAGAAAAATGAGCAGTGGAAATGGCTCATCTAAGGGTAGTTATTCTTAGGAATCTGAACTGGAGGCATTCTCAGGCCTCACCGACTCCCATATGGACACTTGCTTTTCATTCCTTTCCTGTTTTGATTGCAGAAGAGAATGGAAGGGCTTCAGAGGAGCAGATATGGAACTATAGGTGAAGGTAAGAAAGCCTCGCAGGTCTCCGGAGCTGAGGGCAGCGGGGGAGTCCCTGTTCTCTGTCCGCCTGGCCCCCACCTCCGACACACGGATGGAAACCCACTTGTTTTAAACAGGAGGAGAAAAGGGCAACTGTCATTTATTCTCTACCTTCCCCGTTGTCATCAATCCCGCTCACACGCGGCAGTGTGATGCTGCCCCTGCACACGATGTGGGAAATGTGGAAATGAAACTTCTGGTCTGAAGTTGGAGGATTTGAAACTGAATTGTGAAAATGTTTCTCCTTCCTTGTCTGCTCTCAGCTGAAGAAAAGGAAAAAAGTTCCCCATAGAGATTTCGTAACCGTGTTTGCTACAGAACATCCCAGAATGCTTTAGGAAAGGAAGGACCAACCCAGAATAGAAGGAATAGAGGAATAGACTTTCGGAGCCTAGAATGAATTTAAGATTCGTTTGGGCTCATAGGAGCTCAAGAAATCCTCGGCTCCTCACCCTCTGCATCCCTTCAAGATCTTAGCTCTTGGCTCAGTGTTGCCCTCTCCAGCACCACTTTATTTTAATAATTTCCTGTGATTCAATCATCCAGATAGATGATCTTTCCAACACATGTACATTTAATGGTCTTATCTTCCACTCGTCTTCAGCCACCCATGCAGAGTCATCTCCCAGACTTGTCCTTGACATTAACTGTGACCTCTGTCATCTCAATTTCTAGCATCCAACCCCCCACCCCCCATGCAAAGGGCAGAGACCCAGGGACATTCAGCTGGTCCTGGGTGGGAGGTCACTCCAGCTCTGACATGGGAGACTCCCTTTACCCCCAAGGTTCGGATGTGTGTGTCGAGCACTTCTATACGCATGTGCCTGGGAATTTGTGAGTGGAAAAGAGGTGATAATATTTTCTCAATGCCTTCCCATCCTCTGCCTTCTTCTAATCTCACATTTATTTAGTGTGACACTGGCCTAGGCACCGTCCACGGAAAAGCACAGGGACCACTTTTCTTTCAGAAAAACTGTATTTTCCCAGGTGTAGATGAGATGCTTGGAGCAGCCTCCTTAGCGTAGCACTTCTTACTCCGGGCTGTGGGTCCAGATGTGGACCCCCTGTGATCCAATAACCCCTAACGTTGGATCAAACTTTTGGATGTGTTTAGATGTGAATGTTTTCCTGGGGACAGATTCACAGCTTTCATGAGCTATCATGAAGGTCTGTAACGTAAAACTCTTAAAAATCACTAACTTGGGAAGATCCAAAAATTCTTTGTTTGTAGACAGAGGAGAAGATAACCAGTTTGGAACGTCGTCGTCATTGAGGATCCTCCTGGTGGGCAAAACAGGCAGCGGGAAGAGCGCCACAGGGAACAGCATCCTCTGCCAGCCAGCGTTTGAGTCCAGGCTGGCGGCCCAGTCCGTGACCAGGACGTGCCAGAAGGCGACAGGCACCTGGAATGGGAGGAACATTCTGGTGGTTGACACGCCCTCCATCTTTGAGGCCAAGGCCCAGACCCAAGAGACCTACAAGGACATTGGGGACTGCTACCTGCTCTCGGCCCCAGGGCCCCACGTGCTGCTGCTGGTGACCCAGCTGGGGCGCTTCACTGCCCAGGACACGCTGGCAGTGAGGAGAGTGAAGGAGATCTTTGGGGCAGGAGCCGTGAGACACATGGTCGTCCTCTTCACCCACAAGGAGGACTTAGGGGGCGACTCCCTGGACGAGTATGTAGCGAACACGGACAACCACAGCCTGAGGAGCCTGGTCCAGGAGTGCGGGAGGAGGTACTGCGCCTTCAACAACCGGGCCACCGGGGAGGAGCAGAGGGAGCAGCTGGCCCAGCTGATGGCCGTGGTCGAGAGGCTGGAGAAGGAGCGCGAGGGCGCCTTCCACAGCAACGACCTCTTCTTTGACGCACAGATGCTCCAGCGAGAGGGGGCCGGGGTGGGTGGAGGAGACCACAGGCGCTACCTGGCCAGGGTGCAGTTGCAGGTGGAGAAGCAGAGGCGAGACCTGACAGAGAGCGAGAGTAACTGGGTGCTCAAGGCGCTCCTCAGAGCCAAGAACTGGATGCTTGCTCACCGTGGAATATCTGCTGTTATTGTCATATGCACTTTGATTTTTCTTGCTGTTTTAATTTACTTGTGTATTTCTCGTGGACACTGAGCATTTTCAGATGAGTTCTAAATCAGTTTTTTTTTTAGTCACCATCTCTGTCTGTTTGTAGGGTACTTTATTTGCTTTTTACATAATTTCACTTTCAATTTCTCCTCCTTGCATCAAACATGTCATCTATTTTCTTCAAGTGCTTTTAGGTAAATAAAATCCAAAGGAAAAAAGTATTTTCCTTTTTTGCTTTGCTAACAATTGTGAGGGTAGATACTAAACCCACTGGATGCTGTCCTGACTGTTCAGGGGCCTGCAGGGGCAGGGGGAGTGGACGGGGACACTGTGTGAGTGCCTTGCCTCTGGGCTCCCCTTTGCCAGGCTTGCCGCTGAGGGACAAATAGGTTCCATCAAAAACTGATAGCACCATTCCTTATTTCACGCAGAAACATACTCAGATTCCATCATAGGTTGTAAAAGATGACACCCCATCCCCATCCCCACCCGCACAAGAGAGAAGAGGACATTCTGGGGGCAATTGCGCAGGAGGGCAGAGGCTGGGAAGAAGGGCCAGAGGAGCCCTGGACAGGGCCGGGAGCAGAGAACAGGAGTCCCAGCGGCAGGATGGGCCGCGCCTGGGGGAAAGACGAGTTGGTCAAGGGAAAGAAAGGAACTCAACTTCTCAGAGCAGGGCGAGGCAAGGCCAGAGCTTGGGTCTTCCAGGCTCAGCCGACCATGTGGTCTCGCTTGCAGCTGCTCAGCTCTACCCTGCTCGTGCAAAAGCCACCGTGGACGAGACATGCGTGAGGTCCGAGGCTGCGTTCCCATAAAACTCAGAACCCTGAAATTTGGATTTCATGTAACTTTCATATGTGGCGGTGAAGTGTCATTCTTCTTTTGATTTCTTCATTTAAAAATGAGAAAGCCCTTCTCAGCTCACAGGCTGTACAAACAGGCGGCAGGGTGGATTTGGGCCAAGGACTGGAGTTTGCGGACCCCTGTCATAGAGTAGACGTCCATTGTTGGTGGCGCTGCGTCGTGATGCAGCACCTTTAACCCCGAACACAGTCCAATCATGTGCCATCTGTGGGAATCTGGGGAAAGGGTGGTGTTCCGCATTTCAGTGGTGGTGAAGAGAAGAGGACAGACACTGGGGTGAAATCTGAGCAGAGGTGCGAATTCAGTGGGAATGGGAGGTCCCGGGGTGGCCCCTTTCCCATCCTCTCCTTCTTTTTGGAAGCTGCCCCCCATCCTCTGCTCCTTTGTACCCCATAGGGGAGACCTGCCATCGTCCCAGGCAGCCTGTGACTGGATGGGTCAGTGATTAACTCCAGAGTGTGTCTCAGGAACTCGACCATGACACCCAAGTGTCATTCTCCAAACCTCCATCAGTGTGAAGAGTGCCATGTTGATCGCAACAGCTCCCTCACAGAGCTGATTGCAAACATGTGCGGGTGTGCTGTGTATAAGCCCCTCAGACCCTCGGAACCCTAAGGAGCTCTGAGTGCTCAGCCCGAGGACTGCCTCCTTGAGGCAGTCTTCCTGAATTGTCCAGCCTTACGTGGTCTCCCCGCCCTTGGCTTAATTCAGTCCAGCTGCACAGACATTTGTTACATGCGCACTGATTGTCAGGTTCTGCACTCGGCACCAGGAATGTAAGATAAATAACACAAGGTTCCTGCTCCACGAAAGCAGGGGAGCGCTAGAGGGATGAAGCCATGTAAAACTGGGGTGGAAGGGAAATTCGCTTGGAGGTAAAGTGTCAGCCAAAAGGAGAGCACCAGGCTCAGCAGAGGCTCCCTGGATGGGGTGGTGCTTGAGCCGACGAGGAGCCTGCTGGCCTCTCTGGACTCACTTCAGGCTGAGGGAGGCCACAGTCAGGGAGGGAATGAGAATCAGCTCTGGGAGGAGGGGAGCAGAGAGGGGGGGCGGGGAGGGGCCTGTGCGGCACCCTCAGACCTCAGACCTCGAAGGCTGCCTCACAGAGAACAGGAAGTCACTGGAGGCTTTCAAGCAGGTTAGGATAGTTTAGGAAGACCCCGTGGCGGAAACGTGGCAGCTGGGTTATATAAATGCAAGCCTGGGGACAGAATAACATTTGGAAGAAAAGAATTCATCCCCGCGATCAGGGCCTGAGCTGTAGCAATAGGAATGGGGACAGAGAGGAAGGACACACTGAGACACTGAGGAGGTGGAATCAATACAATGTCATCACGGGCAGCAGTATTGGGGAGGGAACCAGGTTTTGTCTTGGGCCCCCTGTAAGGTGTGCCCCGGACCTTCACTGCCCTGGGCCTTCAGAGGGAGAGTGTGCTGAGCAGAGGAAGGCAAAGACTTAGGGTCTGGCCATGCCGGCCTTGAAGCCCTCTGGGCCACCGCTCCAGTCGTCCAGGACATGGTTGGTGATGGGTCTCATCCTCCCTCCAGGGAAGGCATAAAGCAGGACCAGGTGTAGACTCGGCCCAAGTCAGTCTCGGGGAGCAGGATGAGGATGGCCTCCCTCCAGGGGCGGAGACAGTCCCGTCCAGGCCTCCCAGGGATGTGGGGCACCAGCAGGGCATCTCTTTCATCACAAGCAGTGCCGCTGGGAATCCAGATGACGCTCCACCATGGCCGATTTCTAGGGGGAGTCAAGCTGGAGAGTTAACCTAGAGATGTTTGACAGCAGAGCAGGAGAGAGGGGTTGGCAACCCTTCCCTCACACATGGACGTTCACCAAAATAGTCCCTGGAAGGTGCTCAAAGGTGAGCTCTGTTTCTCCCCAAAACAGTAAAGGAAGCACACAGAAAACCCGCCCAAAGGCGGCCACACTTCCCCCCCGCCTCTCACTGTCACTCTTCAAAATAATCCAGCTAAAAGGGGTTCCACTTCATTCGGGATTCAGTGAGGGCCTGCTACGCAGTGGGCACTTTAGCAGCAGAGGGAGGTCCTTCCTGATTCTGGGAACAAGAACAGAGAGGTCTGTTCATTTACTTCCTCGGAGGAAGCGTCAGAGCGGGAAGTTCTGACAGATTTAAGGAGTTTGTAAAGGAATATGGAGAACTCTTCTTTAGTGCAAATGCCTTCAATTCAGGTAAAAGAGACCCCAAACTCAAGTAGCGTAAACAATAAGGGAATTTATTGACTGACATGACTGGAAATTCAGAGATAGGGTGGGCTTCAGGGCTGGTTGACTCAGGGCTTAGGTGTGTTCCATCGCTCTGCTCTGCTTTGAAGTGTCGCCTTCAACATCGGGCTGGTAGCAAAGTGGCTGCTAGATTTCGAGCATCACATTCAGACTCAAGCGTGCCCAGAGGAAGAAGAGAGACTGTTTCTTTCTGAGCGTTTCTCCTGGGAAGGGAGAGACCTTCTGGCCCCACCTCTGCAGACGTTTCCTCACTTCTTATCGGCCTGAATTGGGTCTCAGGACTGTTCTAGAACTAGTCACTGGCAAGGGAATGGGATTGGACAGAGGCAGCCTGCTGTCACCTCCTTCTGAGGTGCAGGGCTCCCTTCGGGAGAGGAGGAGGCTGAGCCAAACCAGAGGTCCAAAAGGGGGGAGGGGCAGGAGCTGCACAGAGAACAAACCGTGTCCTCTACAGAGCGTGACAATTTCAGAACTGGGGACACGCAGAACAATGAGTCTCGTGAGGCGGTTCTTCAGAAAATGCTGTGACACACGGAATCAATGATAATACAAGATGAGCAGTAAAACAAGAAGAAAAAGTAAACTACACCAAACAAGAAAAACACAAAACTCATAATGCAAAATCATCCAGTTCTTGGCTCTGAGGAGCGCCTTGAGCGCCCAGTTACTCTCGCTCTCTGTCAGGTCTCGCCTCTGCTTCTCCACCTGCAACTGCACCCTGGCCAGGTAGCACCCGTGGTCTCCACCCACCCCGGCCCCGTCTCGCTGGAGCATCTGTGCGTCAAAGAAGAGGTCGTTGCTGTGGAAGGCGCCCTCGCGCTCCTTCTCCAGCCTCTCGACCACGGCCATCAGCTGGGCCAGCTGCTCCCTCTGCTCCTCCCCGGTGGCCCGGTTGTTGAAGGCGCAGTACCTCCTCCCGCACTCCTGGACCAGGCTCCTCAGGCTGTGGTTGTCCGTGTTCGCTACATACTCGTCCAGGGAGTCGCCCCCTAAGTCCTCCTTGTGGGTGAAGAGGACGACCATGTGTCTCACGGCTCCTGCCCCAAAGATCTCCTTCACTCTCCTCACTGCCAGCGTGTCCTGGGCAGTGAAGCGCCCCAGCTGGGTCACCAGCAGCAGCACGTGGGGCCCTGGGGCCGAGAGCAGGTAGCAGTCCCCAATGTCCTTGTAGGTCTCTTGGGTCTGGGCCTTGGCCTCAAAGATGGAGGGCGTGTCAACCACCAGAATGTTCCTCCCATTCCAGGTGCCTGTCGCCTTCTGGCACGTCCTGGTCACGGACTGGGCCGCCAGCCTGGACTCAAACGCTGGCTGGCAGAGGATGCTGTTCCCTGTGGCGCTCTTCCCGCTGCCTGTTTTGCCCACCAGGAGGATCCTCAACGGAGATGATCCTGGAGTTGAGCTCTCTTCTCCTCCACCTGTTAGAGCGCATGAAAAGTGAAGGTGTAATTGCTGGGCCTGAATGTCTGTGACCCCCAGATGGAGATGTTGAAACCCTAACCCCAGTGTGATGGCATCTGGAGTTGAGGCCTTTGGGAGGTGACTTGGTTTAGATGAGGCCAGGTGGGTGGCAATCCCATGATGGAATTAGTGTCCTTATAAGAAGAGGAAGGGGGGCCAGCCTGGTGGCGCAGCAGTTAAGTTTGCATGTTCCGCTTCTCGCCGGCCCGGGGTTCGCCGGTTCAGATCCCGGGTGTGGACATGGCACTGCTTGGCACGCCATGCTGTGGTAGGCATCCCACATATAAAGTAGAGGAAGATGGGCATGGATGTTATCTCAGGGCCAGACTTCCTCAGCAAAAAGAGGAGGATTGGCAGTAGTTAGCTCAGGGCTAATGTTCCTCAAAAAAACGAAGAGGAGGAAGGGACCAGAGCTCTCTCTCCACCATGTGAGGACACAGCACCCACGAAGCGGACTCTCACCAGACACTGAATCTGCCGGCACCTTGATCTCCAACCTCCCAGCCTCTAGAACGGTGAGGTGGCAATATCTGTTGTTTACCACCCACTCTACGCTATTGTCATCCAGCAGCCTGAACTAAGAAGGTAATAAGTGCCTTTTGAGGAGGAGGAGGATCAAAGACAAAATGGAAAAGACCCAGAGAAATGGCATCGATGATCAATTAGGCATCACACCCTCTGTTCCCATCACCGGGCTGTGCTCAGAGCAAACACCAGACTCCCTCTCAGGTAGAGACCTGAGAGAACCCACATGGGGCTAGTGGAATAAACTACCCCAGCTGGCCAGAGCCCTTGGGACCTTTCCTTTTGGGACTGCCGAATTTTGCCACCCTTTCTGGAAATTTCTCTCTATTTAGTTCTCACCCTGAAGGCCTCAAGCTGCTATTTGATGCTCAGCGCTTCCTACAACCACTGAGATGTTCATACTCTCCTTTCCACTCCTCCCATCCGTGCCCGGTCTCTGTTGTACAAGATGACAGGGTTTTATCTGGAGAAACTTACCTTCACCAAGGACAGCACGACAGCAAACAGTCTAATAGGTTGTGTTTCCTGGGGAAATGCATTTGCTTTGTCTTGGGGTGACTCTAGTCCTGTGCCTTTCACTGCAAGGTGGGAGGTTTGCTTGCCCAGTGCTGAGTTTGTGGCCCCAAGTGTCGCGAAGAGCTCCACCAGATCCTTACCTGTGGTGACGGTGTCTTTCCCGCCCTTCTGAGGCCCTTCCATTGTGTTCTAGAGGGGAAAGATGCAGGGATTGTTCATACCGGCAGTGGATGTGACACCTGACACAAAACCCCACATTTTATAGATGAGGAAATTGAGGGGAGACAAAAGGACTACTGACGGTCACACGTAATTTAATGGATGAGCCAAGACAAAAGCCCAGGTCTGCTGACCCTAGTGTTCTTAGCACTAGACCGAGCCTCCTCCCGAAGAGGGTATAGACAGCGCCAACATGCCAGCACATGCATGTGGTTTCCTGTGACCTGTATTTAGCTCATAGGAGGCATTGAACATGTGCTGTCCGCCCAGAAGACCAATCAAGGAGGTTAGTGATTTCCTGTTGAGCTCCTGCTGTCTCGAGCTCTTGTCTGCCTTTAGGGTCTCAGTCCCGGCACCCCAAACTCAAGTTTGCCTGGCAAAGCATCCCCCTTTGGTAAATTCACAAAAGAAATTCCTTCCTCAGCTTCCATGGTGATGGTGGAATGGAGGGTGACCAAACATCCGCGTTTGTCCAGGGCTGAGAGCACTCCCTGATCAAAGGACCTTCAGTGTTGGAACTGGGAAGGTCCCAGGCAACCAGGATGAGTTGGTCATGCCAGGAGTAGGAGATCATCCTGAGTCCAAGCGCCGTGGAGTGGAGTGTACATCCAGTAAACAGAGGGAAGTCCTGATTTGTTAGGCTCACGCCAACTGTTACACTACAGAAGATCCATCTTCCATGCTCTTACTCGAATAGTCTTGTGCCAGTAGCTACCCCGGGGCATCTCTCTTCTGCCCACTCACCTTCTTGAATTGTCTTCCAGATACCTTTCTCCCGATCCTTCTCTTTCTTCCTACCTCCTACTTCCTGTTCTCAGGGAGGGTGTCCATTCAGGCCCCACCCAAGAATGATTTCTCAGCCTTCACTACTGGGAAAATCCTACACAATCCTCTCCAAAGCAAATCAGGACCTTGCTGTGTGCAAAGTTTCAGGGTATTTTCCTTGTAACTGTTCAAGGAGTTGATGCTGAAGAATGACTCTCCACCTGTGGAATTTCAGGGTCTATGACAGGTGAACAGAAAAAAACACTGTGAAAGAAGTGGGTTTTCCCAGTGCTCCTTGGGATCACGCCATACAGGATATGGTCCAAGCCCTCCACACGCAAAACCAGCCACAGCGATTACCTTGGCAGGAAAAATAATTCCATAAATATAAACAACTTGGGAATCATTTGAATTTAAGTACCAAACGTCAAAACCCAGCTTCCGTCAGCCAGTTCCCAGGTAACATCACTGTAACTCGTTCTAATGCTATTTTAGAGCCAAAAGAGAAACGGTAGCAACTTTCCACCCTTGGAATCTCTTCTTTGACCAGGTCCCACGGAAACTAGTCGACTCTGGCTTGTAAAGTCTGTCCCAGCATCTGTACAATTCAAGGGAGAGTCATCCAAGCCAAGGAACCACCATACTGATTATGCAGCTCAGTCCTGCATTTACGTCCAAGCAAGTGCCGCCCTGTTGGATGGAAGCTGGTCCTGAGCATTTGCTGCCGTCCTGCCATCCATGAGGGGGCCTTTCAAATCGAGCCTGATGGTTGTCTTAGGTGTCAGCTTGGATGGACCCTAGTACCTGGTGATTTAATCAAATACGGATCTGGGTGTTGCTGTGAGAGTATTTTGCAGATGTGGTCAAATAAAGGTGGCCCTCCAGGATGTGGGTGGGCCTCACCCAATCAGTTAAAGGCCTTAAGAGCAAACACTGAGGTTTCCCAGAGAAGAAGAAATTCTGCCTCGAGACTTCAATATCAACTCCTGTCTGAGTTTCCGGCTGCTGGCCTGCCCTGCAGATTCTGGACTTAGCAGCCCCCACAATCACGGGAGGCAATTCCGTCAAATAAACTTCTTCATATATTTATATTCTATTGGTTCTATTTCTCTGGAGAAACCGGACTGATGCCTCCATCCAGCTAATTCTCTCCATGGAAACCCGGAGAAGGAGCAAACCTGAACGTACTTCTCGTCTGTGGCTGGTCCCTTTCAAGGACGAGGCCTGTGGGGAGATTGGCTTTAGGACGTGATTGCGCGGAGAGCGGCACGGGGAGCATGTTCCTTAGAGATCAGCTTGTTCCCAATGCTGATGATTTTGAAACCGAGATGCTCTGTCTTCCCGTGAACTGCCCTTGAGTCATCTTGAATGGCCGTCTCCAGAGAGGGCTAGCGACAAGGGGCTCCTGAGCCTCCGAGGGAAACGCACAGCTGCCAGGAAAGTGACAGGAGTGGTGAGCGCTGAGGGGCAGAGAAGGTGGTGCTGGAAGAGATGCAGACAGGGGGCTGGAGGAGGGCGGGAGCTGCTGCGCCTGGACTCCTGGAGACAGGAGTGAGCTCAGAGATCAGGTGACACCATCCGCTCCTTTTAAATATGAAGAAACCGAGACTTCTGGGTCGGGGGTATGCAATACAACCTTTACACAAAGACGCCTGTGCCCAGGGCTGTGGGATGAAAGGCCATCAAAGGGAGACGGCAACCCCTTCCCAATGTTTCCCCGCAAACTGGGAGCCCAGGCAGGACCTGGGTGTGCTGTGGGGTGTGCTGGGAGGGGTCCGTCCTCAGTCCCTCAGGCACCATCAAACAGTGCTACTCACTTGATGTGTTTGGCCAGGCAACTGGTAGCAGGCCATTTCTTCCGAGAATGAGAGGCTTAAATTGCTGCTCTCTCAGAAGCCAGCCTGAGCAGAAAGAGAAGTGAAAAAGGGGCTCCTTCGCAAGAACTGTCTAGGTTTTACTCAGTTTTCTCAATTACTTGTTGAGGATTTTTTCCCTCTGCAGTCACCCTGCCTCCTCTACGGCAAACCACCACAGCTCAGCCACTGGGTGCCAGGGCTCCCAGGGCGTCCCCTTCCCTGCTCCGTCCCCTGCAGACACTGCACCCTCGCTGCCACATCCCTCCCTCAGGACTTCACCATCATCCTGCTCCCCGCCTCTCAACAGCCTGTTCAGGGCTGGCCATCAGCACCCTCCTCATTTTATATCCATCGATCCCTCCATCAGTTCACTTAAAAATGGTACTAAACACCTCTATCGCCAGGCATTCCTCTCCCTACACTTGGAGGACAGATGGACCCGTTGAAAGAGCAGCTCCTGCCACAGAAGCATGATTCCCTCCACCCACCTCGCGAAGTGCTATTGCCTGCACCATCTCCACCACACAGGACTGAAAGAAGCCTGTAGGGATGGGAAAGGGAGGGACACGCTTGGGAAAATGGTGGGACAGTCTGGAACTTTGGCAGATTATCCTACCCTCATTTGCCAAAAGTAGTGATACCATCCTCCCTGCTTGCCCCCCTGGAGCGTTGGAGACGGATGGCACGCTGGTCAGGAAAGGTTAACGAGGTGCCCTCATGAGAAACCGCCACTGTCAAGGGTGTGAGGCAGGGGAATGCCCCAGGAGCAAAGCCCTGCTGTTTATAACTCCATCCTGGCTGACGAGGGGGGTGAAATAATGTTCGTAAGCAATAAACTGCATTTATCAGAAAAAAAGCAAATGTTTTACCTGAGCAGATCAACTTGAGTCCTACTCTGAAATCTTTCTCTTCTCTTTAAGGTGGAAACTCTTTCCACCAAGCTGAGTGGTGTATTTTAAAAAACAAGCAGTGGAAATGAAGTAAGTTGAAAATTGAAAGACCAGCTTTCAGCCTGTTCTTCAAAGGGCATCCTATGACTTCTGGGGACAAGTGGGGGGGTGGGGATTCAGGCCATTCTCCGTCACGCAGCAACGTGTGAGCACCTATACATGCACCAGAAATTGACGCAGCAGCCACTCTGTGCACACATGAAAACACTATTGCACAAAGACAAGAAATAAGCTTGTTAGTATCACCAGAGGGCTACAGTCTGAGCTCACTCAGTGCGAACTTTAGGTTCTGAAATATATGGTAGCAGTAATTTTTCAGCTTGCACTTATTTAGGGTCTTCAGGTATGTAATTCTCGACCATAATTATTCGTGAATAAAGAAACCAAGGTTTAGAAAGATGAAGTGTCCAGATTGACACATTGTTACTGGTAGACCTGGGATGAAAGAAAGTGAGAGAGAATGAAAGAAAACAAAACAAGCCCTGTTACCTGGAAGGTCCTGGAATATCTTGCAAGTTCTGCAGCCTGTCTGGCAGCAGCCCACTCCTCTCCTAGGCAGCCTTTCTCGTTGGCTTCTAGTCTCTTCAAAATAACACAGGAGCAGTGAGAGACAAAAAAACTGTCCACAAATTCTATCAGCCAGAGAGAGAGGGACTGTGTCCCGGAAACAGGAACAGAACAACGTGGGTGTTTCCTCGAAAAGCCATCCTCAGAGGGTGACCCAGAAGCGCTCAGAGACACCAGTGAAAGAGCTTGTTTTATTTTGTTTTTAATAAGAGCTGCTTTTTCTTCTCCCCGCCACATCCCTGTAACACTTATGTGCAAAAAGAATTCTCTGCCAGGGTTGGTCCAGAGAATGGGGAGGAACGTCTGGGGCACAGTTGCATCCCGAACGTGGCCATCCGCTGCCCTCACTGTTCCAAACTGGCCCGTGGTGCATCTCCCCACCCCACCGTTTCCTCTCCAGAGTAAAGACGGTTTCCTGTATGTGATTCTAGACGGCAGCAGACACGGAACTGAAGACAGGCACCTTGCTGGAGACGTTCCATGACCCTGACCTCCCTCTAGGTTCTCTGTCAAATGCCCTGCTCTCGGGTTCCCCGTGCTTTGACCTGAGGTGGGAAACAGGGTTTAGTAGGTTCCTTCACCGAGGTGGACCTGAATTTCCACAGAAACCAGGAGCCATCCATCCCCTACCCCTCTGTCCCCAGCAATAGGCAAAGAGACAAGCACCTAAGGGGGGGGCTGCCCTGGGCCCCCACACGGCCCTGCTCGGTGCTCCTCCTCTGCCTCCGGGCGCTGGCCCTGCTGGGGCCCCTGGGGGGGCTGAAGCGCCTCTCTGGGGACATTCTTAGTGTGAAGGGGCGGTTTGATCCGCCACTTGGACGTGTGAGTTCAGATTAATATGGAAAAACAGCCACAAGCAGAAAAGTGGGCTACAGGTGCCTCTGGGGTCTCTGCTCAGTGTGGAGGGGAGGGCAGCCACAACGCAGGCAACAGGCACAACTCACCGTTTGCAATGAAAGCCCTGCTTCACTTACAATGTTAACACTCTCCTATTGATACTGTGATTTAACTTCTCAGACAACAACAGCGACCACCCGGAACGAGAGGATGCGTGCCCTCCTGCTGTAGAGGACGGAAAGGCATGCTTTTAACATGTGGGAGGCACAATGGATTTTCTTTCTGTTAGCTAGAAATGCCTCTCATACCTCATTTTTGCCAGAAAAAAGAAAAGAAGGCTAAGGATCAACTCTTCTAATACAAAACTAATTATTTTGGGGAGACATTTATCAGCTCCAAACTGACTTATCATGAATACTTTTGTGCCTAAAGTTAACTCATTCAGCTATCTCGGCATATATTTTGTACACATTTGATACACACGGAAGGGACATTGCCCAAAGGTACCAAATCCACACGGGCCTTGTGAGTTTTTGTGGTGGAGGTAAACACATAGGTTTGCCTGCCTTAAGCTGCCCAGGCCGATACTCCTGCGTCCACAGCATGGAGAGAAGACTGTGGGTCTTGAGCAGCTACTTCCTGTGCACTGGAGAAAATGCAAATTGGTCAGTGAAAACAGAGTCTCGACTCTGTCTTCAAGCATTCCCTCAGCGACTATGTAGCCTGAGATGGGAGGCCTTCCATTTGGGACAATTGTATGCCTTTTCCTCTTAATTGCCTATTCATATTCTTAGTCAATTTTATTCTGTTAAATTATATGTATTTTTCCTGTTGATTCAAGAAAGGCCTTTATTTATGATTCAAGAAAACAAAATATTACCTGCTCTATAGAACACCTGTTCACAGTCCTTTTCTGCCCCTTTCCTTTCCGTATTCAGAGTGTTATGGCTACTCAGGCCTCCTCTATTCTTTCAGAGCTATCTCGTGGAATTCTAGTGATGGCTTTTCAAACCATAGGAGCTTCTAATTGCTGCTGAAAGAAATGTCACCAATAAAGAAGGGGAAAAATTGTTCTTTTCCCTGACAGCTACAGAGAAAAACAGCAAATATTATTCCTACAAAGGAGTCTGTGAGATACCCAGTGCTTGAAAATTGTAGCACTGGCCTGTGAAAATAACCTTTCATCTCCAAAAGTCTGTGGAATTATGGTTGTCTTACTTAATAATGTGCTTCTCTCTTAGTGAGATGTAAATTGAAAGCTAGTAATTCCTAACCAGTCTAAATACTTAGGAGATTTCTTAGACAACTCCAAAGGAGATCCCTGATATTTCCCTCTTCTACCACAGGCATGCAGGAACAAAATGAAACACAACAAAATAAAATAGTCAAAGAGTTTGAGACTCCTGGCTAGTTTAAATTCACATATGCTAAGTAAAACGGAACTGTCCACTGTTGTCAATGTCTTGCCAAGACCACCCCCTGCTGTTTGTCTCTTAATTAAGCTTTTGCTCAATCTGAAAATCTTAACAAATGTTTTCTTTATGGCTTCTGTCATCCTTAGAAAGCCCTCCTTTCTCATCTCTTTATTTAAAAATATATTACTTGTGTCCACTCAAAAGTCAGCACATGAATATTTATAGAAGCTTTGTTTATAATTACCAAAACTTGGAAGCAACCGAGATGTCTTTCCATAGGGGAATGGATAAAAATACAGTGGTACCTCCAGATAATGAAATTTTATTCAATGCTAAAAAGAAATGAGCTATTAAGCCATGAAAAGACATGGAGGAAACTTAAACGCATCAGTGAAAGAAGCCAATCTGAAAAGGCTACATACTGTACAGTTCCAACCCCATGACCTTTTGGAAAAGGCAAAACTATGGAGACAGTAAAAGATCAGTGGTGGCCAGGGGTTGGGGACATGCATGAATAGGTGGAGCACAGATGACTTTTAGGGCAGTGAAATTATTCTGTATGATATTGTAATGGTGGATACATGTCACTATACATTTGTCAAAACCCATCGAATGTACAACACCAAGACTAAACTCTCATGTAAACTGTGGACTTTAATTAATAACACTGTATCAATATTGGCTTCTCAATTGCAACAAACGTACCACACTAATGCAACATATGAATTTGGGGAAATACAAGCATTCAGACCATAGTAAGCATTAAATGCATATTTCAAAAATAAGAAAGTTCTCAAAAAAGTAATGCTTGCTTCCGCCTTAATAAACAGAGATAATAATAAATCTTAATAAAAAGAGAAAGAAGAGAAAAGCAAACCCAAAACAAGTAAAAATGCCAAAAAATGATAAAGATGAGAGCAGAAATCATGAAGTTAAAAACATAAGAGACAATAGAGAAATATCAATCAATCCAAAAGCTGATCCTTTGAAAAGACCACTAAAATTAATAAGCCTCTAAAAAATATTTGCCAAGGAAAAAAAAGGAGAAGACACAAACTACCAAGATCACCAATAAAAGAGGAGACATCACTACCCACCCCACAGAAATTAAATAGCCACTAGGGAAATGCTGTGAACAACTCTATGCCCATAGACTTGATGCTTTAGGTGAAATCATCTTTCAATAGTCTTTTAATTCCTTGAAAGACACAAACTACCAAAGCACACTCAAGAAGAAATAGATAGCCTAAATAGTCCTACATCTCTCAAAGAAATTAAATTTATACTTTAAAACCTTCCAAAAAAGGAACTCCAGGCTCAGATTATTTTGCTGTCTAATTCTATCAAATATTTAAAGAAAAAATAATATCAGCTCTACACAACCCCTTCTGAAAGTAAAAAAGGAAGGAACACTTCCCAACTCATTTTATGAAGCCAGCATTAACACTAAAATCAGAGAAAGACATTATAAGAAACAAAAATCCTCATTTATCTCTCATAAACATCGATGCAAAATTCCTCAACAAATTGTCAGCAGATGAAATCCTAAAATATATAAAATGGTGATACCCACAAGTGTGTTTCATCACAGAAACGCAAGGCTGATTCAACATTTGAAAATCAATCAGTGCAATTCACCATGTACGGACTAATGAAGAAAAACCATGTAATCATCTCAATAGATGCAGAAAAGCATTTGACAAAATTCAAGAACCATTATAAAACTCTGAAAGTAAGAATAGAAAGGAACTTCTACAATCTGATAAAGGGCATCTACATATACATATATAATGGTGAAATATTGAATGATTTTGCCCTAAGAGGGCAAACTCAGCAATTTTGAAACTATAGTATCCTAGAGTTCAACTACTCAGCAAATACATTGTAGCTAATGAGAGCCAAGTTCCTCACTGTCAGAGAAAGATATTACAAATAAGCAAATGAAGAAGGCTAGAATAAACTCTGGTGCTGGACTGGAGTCAGAAATATCAGTATCAGTATCTTATAGTACCAAAAACTAAGTAAGTGCAAAAGAAGGGGAGGGGTAGAGGCATATCAAAAGGAGACAAGCGGCAACCTGAAAGAGCTCCCAATGGCCAAAGCTTTCTTTTTACAGAGATAGTCCAGCTAATAAACACAGAGGGAATGATAAAATTAAAGTATCATCATTTTATAACCGCAATAAATGAATGGATCTAAGCAGTGATCCTCAACGATTGCTAGGTATCACTAAAGAGATGCAACCAGCCACCATACGCCTCCAGAAGGAAGTGGACGCACCATTTACAAGCTGCAATGTGTGAACCTTATGTGGATCCATATTCAAGTAAAATGTAAAGGAAAATTATGACAGTTGGGAAACTGTGAAAACTGCCTGGATATTTAATATTAAATATTTGTTTTTCAGTTGTGATATTAATAAAAGGGAGAGTCCTACCGCTTTAGAGTTATTTGCTGAAATGTGTACAGATGAAATGATATGACATCGAGGTCTGGCTTTCAATGAATCAGGAGAGGAAGGGTTAGGGGTTTAGATCAAACAAGATTGCCCACAATTGACAACAGTTGACACCTTATGATGGATAAATTGGGTTCTGTACACTATTTTTTCAACTTCTCCATATATAGAATTTTCCATTTAAAAAGTTTTCAAAATATATTGACAAAGGTTTATCAAAATGGGCAATATTTCAATTCTTTCCAAATGTTTTAGATATATTGGGTTAAAGAGGATACCTTTCAGCCTCTCACTGAAGGATGTAAGAAATACAGTATCATCATTTGATAGGTCTTGGTAAAGGCTTTTTGGTGTGTTTCCCAGATACTGCGAAATCTAATGTCCCTAATGACTGGCTAATAAATCCTTTTGCAAGGCAAGCAGTTTACACTGTTTTGTTTTCAACAAAAAGGAAGACAGATATATCCATTAATAGACAATTAAAAATGAATGATAGATTGCTATGTGGGTTTTGGCATTTATCTTGGAAGGAGTTCAAAGAATTAAGTGGCACTGCTGTAACAAAATTGTCTCCATTCCTATTTATTTATGTAAATGAGGTTTCTCAGTGCCTACACTGATTAAAACA